AACGTCGGGGTGGGAGAGGGGATGAGTTTAGTTTTATTTGATCTAATCGTTGATAGAAATATTTCAGGAAATTTATCATTTTCTTGGAATCCTCCGTCAATCTATATTTTTTTTTTTCGATATCAAATACATCATGCTTTGAACGTGTGTAACGTAATACTATCTTTAGGGAAGAAAAGAAAAGAAAAAAAGGTAAAAAAGAGACCGAAAATAAAGAGGATCGAATCTAAGAGTATTTCTCAAAAAGGGAAGCTGCGATATAAAAATCGCATCTAACAAATATGCGTCCACAAGGGAGAAAAAAAGAAAAAGAAAAGAGCCGGTCAGGGCCGACGAGCAGTTCAACGATCGTTCCGCGGATGGGACTTGATTTATGCGCGAGCTATCTGCATAATTCATACAGTTATACGGAACACGATGTAACTAGAGAGAAAAAGATAGATAGAAAGAGAGAGAGAGAGAGAAAAAAAAAGATAGGAGAATTAGATGGTTAGATGCATCGAGCCATCGAGCTTAGAATTAGTTGACGCGCGTGAACGCTCTCGATGTGTTGATCGCCGATAATTGCAAACTTGTTAATGGTGTTTTATGAATCACCAGAATGAGTCAGCACAGCGTTGCTAGACACTTAACGTTAGACTCGTGAATGAATGTTTTCGTCTATCATTTCCATATCCTTTCGCATGGTTTAGGATTTTCGTGCCGATAAGTACGAAATATCGATTAGAAACAAAGGTGCAGAATGACGTCACGATGAGAATTAGGGGTTGTTTTGATGAATAAATTTGGATGGCGTGATCGAAAAACTTTCTTCCTGTCTATCCACGGAAATGATAACATTCATTTTCTGTCCGAATGAAATTCGTCTAATTCTATTTTCTAGATAAAGATTATCGTTGAGAAAGCAGGCTTATTTGTCATTTCAATTGATATACTCGAGGAGGAAGAAAGAGTTGTCACGCGTTTTTGCCAAATAGGGGTGCCGAACAACCCTCCGAAATAGCACGTTTAAGTGGATCGATAAAAAAAGGGACTTTCGTTTAGACTTTTATTTAGTCGTTTAAAAAAATGGAATGAATGAGATTCGTAACATATATATATATGTAAATGTATATATATATATATATATATATATATT